TTGGAGGAGATGGTGCGGCCAACGTGGGCGCCGCCGGACCGTATGCGCTCGCCGATGGCCGACGACGCCGTTTTCAGCTTTGAGAGGTCCAGCTTCTCCATGGATTGTTACTGTGTGTGTTGAGTGTGTGAAATTGTAAAGGGGTTTTGGGTATTTGGAGGGGCTGTTAAAGGGGGACACGTGGAAAGCTTTGAAGATACACGTGTGTGATTGTATCGAGAAGAAGGTGACATGTGGATAACTGGATGTATGCATGAGCATGAGATAGTAAAGAATATATGAGTAATTGTTAGATTAATTGTCTCTAACAATTACATGATGATCGGTTACGAACCCCAACAGAATGGTTCCGTAATGAGACCTTAGCATTTCACACAAATGGGTCGAATCTATATTTGTGCATCGGTTGAATTTCCGGCAATATTCCAAAACAATTTAGTGCACAAATCTTTGATTTTTTTTTAAAACTTTAATAACGATTTAACAAAGTTTGAAATATCATATAATAAAATTAAATATTTTATTAGATAGATCGAGTTAAGAGGCTTCAAAATGATATACGATTTGTTGAAATTCACTAGTGAGACAAATGACGAACGACGGCCAATGGTGGTGACCAACAGTAGTGGGTTGCGGCGAGATAGTCGGATATTCAATTGTAGTATTTTTTTATTAAAAAACTATAATTTAATAGATATTTCGCATGTACCAGGTGTACGAGGCAATCAACATATTTTTTTTCACCGTACTTTAAATGTAGGGTTGATATTTTATCAATCTAATTGTGAGATAAAAGGATGCTCATTGTCAGCTATGCACGAGGCTGCCTCACCCTAGAAGGTCCCTAGTGAGTAAATTGAATAAAACTATAAGGTTTGATTGGATGTAAAATATCCAGTTATGATTGATCATATAATTTTTTTTAATCAAAATACAACTCAAATTTAACATAACCAAACTCTCATCAATATTATTAGTATAATCAAATAATATCAAACAATCATTCTCACACATCACATAAGTTTTAATTCACTATTAATTCATTCACATAATTTTAACTATCAATGGATTCCAATAATTTATCTTCTACATTTACTTCATATAAATTTTAATCATTATATTTTAAATATTATATAAATTCAAATGAAATTATTTTACTCACTTTTATTTCTACTCAAAATCTAACTAAACTTTAACTCAACTTCATTATCTTTAATATTATTCATATAATTAAATTATACAAATCAATCATTCTTACATATCACATCAACTTTAATTCACTATTCATTCACTCACATAATTTTAACTACCTATCATTTTCAATCATTTATCTTTTACTTTTACATCTAATCAATTTTAATCAATTTATTCTAGATATTATCTTAATACATTCTTAAAATTCAACTAACAACTAACCATACATTTTATAAAATTAACTATGATTAACCAAAATAACTCTGAACAAATTATTTCTTAAACAATTATCTTATTTCGTCCATCTTTAACAAATGTGCCCTAATAAGAGGATAAATTGCAATTTAGACAATCAAATAAAATATAACAAAAAACTCTTGAGGGAGAGCTTTGCCGCCCTTGTGGTCTTACCCGGCTCGATTTCGGATTAGTCGGTTCCCCTGTAGATCCGAAAACCGGAAGGTCCCTGTACAAAAAAAATAATAAAATAAAATAAAATATAACAACAACATTATTAAAATTTTAAAAGATTCGTTAAAAAACTAGTGCGGTACTCGTGCGATGCACGAGCTAGTTTTATTAAGGTAAGCAATTAAATTTGGATGATTAGAAGAACGTAAATTACATATATTGAAATGAAACACAATGTAACGTTATATGTTATTAAACACATCATTGTACACAAATTATTTGTTTGGTCTTTTGGTACATCGTCTATCGCCATAAATTATATTAAGATTGTAGATAGTCTTAAATAAATGGATTAAATAATTTAGCAGAATATATACGATATTTTGTAAGTGTATGAAATCATTATTTATTTTGGTCTTTTGTACATGTTTTAAGGGAGTATGTAATATTGTTTCTTTAAGGTAGCACGATTTCTTTGAAAGAAAAGTAACAAATACCATAATTTTAGGGTAGCATTTAATGCTGATTTTTTTGAAAAAAAAAAAGTTACTAAGTATGGAATGTAATTAATGCTAATTGAGATTTGATCAGAATTTGACCTACTATTTTTTAAAAATGGTAATTCTTTTTTTTTATATATATATATAGATTCCCAATCAATACAATGGTTCATAGAACGGAGGAAAGAACACTCAAACATACAAATTTCAAGGGTTTAAAGTGAAGTGCTCGCAGGAACTACTAATTCTTTGTTTAAGACTGAAAAGTAGCTTCGCAAATGGTTGGGCTGTCAACATGGTTTCGCTACATTGCCACCAAATTCGAGTACTCTGTCTCGCTCACCCGAAAGGTGAATGAACCCTTATATGCAATTACGATAAAGCTCTTGCCCTTTTTTGCAAATTCCCCTTTTGAAACAATGGAGTTGAATATTTTCATCTGTTTTTTGTAATTTTTATGCTTGAATTGATGTTCCCCTTTTCTAAAGATTGGAACTTGCAGGGCTGTGCTGTGTTTGCGAGGTGATTTTTTGCGTGAGAATATTGGGTTTTGCTGTCGATTCGATGTCGCGTTTATTCTTTACAATTTGGCGATGTTTTTGTCTCGTGATCTTTTGAGCTCTGAGCTCTTTATGATAATCACGCTTTGTTCTTTGACGAGTTGAGTCGGTTTGAGTGAACGGGCAATTTTTCATTTTTCTCTTCTTTTTCACATGTTATGCTCAGACAGACAGAAAATCTCTTGCATTTTTCAAATTCTTGCTTGATTAACTTGATTCTTGTCTAATGATATCTATCTGTCTCAACACCAAATACATTGGCGTGAGAATACCCTGGGCCAACACTGTAAAAAAAAGTCGAGGACTGAATTTATTCTACATTTATGCTGATCGATTGTTTCTTAAAGGTTTTACGAGAAGGTTAAGACTGATAGATGAGTGTGTTTTAAGAAAAACCAAAGCTTTACTTTGTTTATCCAATTTTGTTTGATCAATGGTTAAAATAAGTGTCACTCAACGAGGTTATAAGTGGCATGGATTAGTTCGTTTGATTATCTTATGCTGAAAAAGGCCAAGTAGGTGTGTATGTTGCTTTCTAATGTTTATTTCGCCATTTTGAGAAGATACTCGGAATTAGTTGTTTTTGGGGTGTGCTATTTCTTGCTACACTCTGGACTTTCTGTTATAGGGCTATCAATTTGGAAAGGGCTAGGTGCATAGAAATGGTTCTTTGTGATTCCCTATCTTAGATATTTCTTTTTATTAAAATTGAAATTTTGTGTATATATTTACGTGCACGTAAATATTATTTGGACTTTGAAGTACGTAGTATACATATGAATTATTTGTTTTTGTTATTTTTTACGTATATGTATAAGATAAAACTAGTATACATATAATTTCCTCGTTTTTAATTGGTCATTAACTCCTTGCATTGTAATTTAGGAAAGTTACTTCCCTTCCATTTCTTTTCTTTGAAATTCTTGATATCAAATACCTGGTAGAAAAGAAATATCGAAACAAATTTTCATACCTCTTGATGGTTTCTTAATCTATTGATTTTAACTTTTTGTTCCATTATTTTGAAAAGTTTAATTTTTTCTCTTTTGGGTTTATATGATGGCAAAGTTGCTTCGTCGTCTGTATTTTATGTGGATTGTCCTAGGCTTACTCTAAAAATAATTTCTTTTTTAGCTTTTTCTTCGCCTGGCCCATAACTGAGAGAATCTATGTGGCTGCAGACCTATATACAAGGTCAAATTGCAGATACGGAGATTCTCGATATGATATGGAGGAATGTTTTCCATGGAAAGTTGACATTTTTGCATTGGAATAAAGGAGAAGAGATGGTCCCATCAATTGGCAGCTATGATGGAACTCTTCTTGTTCGGAAAATTCCAGCTGCAAATCCTACGTATGGTTTGCCATCATGAAAAAAAAAAAAAACACTATTTTGTTGCATTAAGTTATTGTTATTTCTCTTCACTTGCTGCTGAAAAAATGTACTTTCATCTGTCATTACCCTACCAAATATATCGTTTATATAACCTCTATCTTTGATGAATATGATTTCTCAGTTTTCATCATTCTTTCTGTCCTTCATTCTTGGCATGAAATTATTGTAGAGTTATAGAATTTGGATTTCCATGTTGAATAGTGATTTTTAGTCAATGCAAATGTATTTTTTTTGCCTCGTAATGGAACACAGTTGACTTTGCTCAAACATTTTCTTCTAAGTTTGGATTTTCGTGTCTTCAATTAAGTTTTTTCTTTTACTTGTTTGTTTTCTAACTCAACTGCAGTTTTAGACATTGTGCTCTTACATGCATATGTGATTTAAACAATGTTTCTAACCTTCTATAGAGTTGATTTAGTTATAAGACCGAATGATAAGCACGAAAAACTGTAGCAAATGAGAGAAAATTTGGTACCTATAATCTCACGTGTCCAATTGTGTCATCATAACTTATTAATTATCATAATACCTGTTCTCTTTGCCTTTTTTATTTTATATGTATTATCTATTTGTGATCCTATTTCTAAGAAGCCAACTTATTTCGTCTTCGTCTGTTGTAGTCGAGTTCATGTTGGTGATGTGGTGGTACTAAAGGACCCAATAAACTCAGGCAATTATCTTGTTCGGAGGTTAGCTGCTATTGAAGGATACGAGATGGCATCGACTGATGAGAAGGACGAACCTTTTCTACTTGAAAATGATCAGTGTTGGGTATTAGCCGACAATAAAGACCTAAAACCAAAGGTATTTATTCTCTCTTACTGTTTTGGTGATTTATTGTAAATTGGTTTCAGTAAGCATGTATAGTTTTATATCATTTTAATAGGATCTTGTTGATTCTCGATAATCTTGCCACGTATCTTTTAGAGTGTCTGCTAAGAAACAACAAAAGCATATAAAAAAATGAGATAATCAGCTTCTAGGGTGGAAGAAAACTACCCAATTTGTTTAACTTTTTTTCCGAATGTTTGAATGCACCACCATAGAATCTCACTCTTTTTTATTTCGCAACGACAATTTTTTTTATTAATAAATGCACATATTCACAGACGCAAAAACAGCCGAATCAATCAGCTACTAAGCTCACTCTTAACTGTCGAATTTAAATGATAAAGAAAAGAGTGAGATTCTATGGTGGTGCATTCAAACATTCGGTAAAAAAGTTAAACAAATTGCGTGTGAATTTTCGCAACGACAATTTTTCAATTAATAAACACCCATATTTACAGACTAGAAACAACCATAACTGTCGAATTAAATGATAAAAACACCATCCTCAAGCAGTAGCTATCTCCATGGATTAAGTTCAATTGTGACGATCACTTACAAATACAATTTCGTAAAGTTAACTGAAATGTAGTGGTTTGAGATATATACGTGTCTTCATTTTGCAGCATGTATATATGGATGATTGATATATTTTCATTCGATTTTTCTTTTCAAATGGTGGTACTTATAGCAGGAAGCCTATGATAGTCGAACTTTTGGTCCGGTTACCATGGAAAACATAGTTGGCCGTGTCATTTATTGTCTGAGGAATGCTGTCGATCATGGGCCAGTCAATAACAGGTTTGAGCAAATCACCCAAAAAAAAGAAGAAAAAAAAAGTCGAGTATCGACAAAAATGATATGCATGCTTCTAGAGGAGGCATCTTCTCAACCAAATAATCAAGTTTTTTTATTAAAAAACTTTGCTTAATGATTTTTTTTTCCTCAATTCATTAATTTTCTTCTTTTACAGCCATTTTAGTGAGATGAAGGATTCACCTATTCTAGAAGTGGAACTGGACGTGGAGGAGATGGCCAAAAATCACAAAATGTAGTTTATTTATTTCCCAAAAAAAGGAAAAAAAAAAGAACACATTGCTCGACTCAATTTCCCCGTGTCGCATCTATTTTGGTGATTCGTCGTGAAATATATCGTTTGGCGTTGGCCAAAGCTGTCGGATTTCTTCCTTAGGATTTTTCAGTGAATTGTATTGTATGCTTGAGATTCTTCGTAAAATCTTTTGCTTGGCCATCTAACTTTTGCTTCACTACCACCATAAATCTTCTAGGATATGTATTTATTAGTGTGATATCATATCATACAATAATTTAATTAATAAGTTCGTGACATTTCATACTATAAGTATGTATTTTTATTAATAAAGTATGATGTCGTATCAAAAAATTGATACAAATAAAACTATAATATTTCATAAATATTATAGGTACATATTATTATTAAAAACAATATAAAGATCCATTTGACTGACACGGTTTTGCTATGGAATGGTTTATTTGATGGTATGGTTTATTTGATGTATATAGAAAGTTGGCTTTACTATGGAGTTAATTGTTGATTTCATAGCAAAACCGTTGACTGACATTTGTGCTCCTAATAATACTGATCTTTATTGTTATTAAGTAGGGAAATGCTATGGTCCCGTTACGAAATCATTCCGTCGGGATTTTAAACCGTTAGATCATCATGTAACTGTCGATAATAATTGATCTAACGGTTACAAACCACGACGGAAGGGTTCTGTAACGGAACCGCAGACATCTCCCAATTAGTAAACCAATTATGGATAGCCTATACATATTCAACTAATATAAAAGTTAGAATGAACTAAAATGTAAGATCAGATAAACTGAATTTTAATTTCGGAGTAGGGCAAATATATGGAATATTACATATTTCACTTGTAATAAGATTACTTCCTAAATAATATGCTAAAACGATTTTATTTAAAA